ATAATTATTTTGGGAAATCGCGATCTGGGTCTCAATTATATAGATTTCCAAAAATTTTCTCTGCCAGACGAAACACACGTCGCGCTCTTTCAAACGGCCAACATTTACGAAACAGTGAGCGCGCTCAGTCGTTCACGATTATTACTCGCCTCTTTGTTGCGCTTCACTCGCGGCACGGAAGATCGCACTTCGGCACGACTTCCGTCTTGGCAGCGAAAAATTACGAGCGCTGCCGGAAGTCGCGTCGCCGCTCGTTATTCCCCGCGAGAACGACTCGACGTGGATAGAGAGAGAGAGAGAGAGAGAGAGAGAGAGAGAGAGAGAGAGAGAGAGAGAGAGAGAGAGAGAGAGAGAGAAAGACAGAGAGAGAGAGAGAGAGGGAAAGAAGTAGTTTCTCTTTTGAAGAACGTCGACGTGCGAAATCAATCGATGTCAAATCGCCGCGACTTTCGTCGCGCGAAATTGACGCAATTCGGCACTGTTTCATCAACAGACGGCGGCAGAATGTGAATCCTGGTGCCTCCTCATGAGCTACGAGTGCCCACATCTCCGTCATAAACGCGTCACGACATCAGTTGTAAGAGCGAACTTGCGCAAGAGGCGAATTTGAAGACTCTGAGGAGAGGCTCTCTCGACGGAGAAAGCAGACGGCCGATCGAGTCAACGAGTTTGCACCGTGACAGCGTCGTATGCTCGTCCCGTCTCTATATTTCAGTATCTTTTGGTCACGGTATGGTCGAGGCCATGTAGAATGACAAATATCCTTATCTTACTACGCACTGATCACAGGATTCGCTGTTGAGAACACGCGTGAACCTACGAAAAGATTTTTGTGCATCAGTGACAACATCCCAATGACGAGGTATCGACAAAGGCAAATAATCGCGAGTGAGAGATCAGCCCTGTAAGGAAAAGAGAAAATCATCCGGATCGGAGAAGATAATAGTCTTTTTTCCGTTGACACGCAACCGATACAACACGATAGAGCATTTTCTTGTTTCTTGCAAGTCTTTTCGCCAAGTCGCGCTAAACGCGAGGATGCAAGCTCATTGATGTCCTCTTCGTGTCTTCTCGATGGGATGCACCGTGGCACGATGGATTTCTAACCGCTTGCAATGATGGTGGACTTTTAAAGAGGCTTCCGGGATAGTCCAGAGACGTGAGATGATCGGCAAACTTCTGCTGACCTTTTGGATATTACGATGGACCAGTTTTTTCGGTAAGCAGATCGTCGATGTACTTTGAATACATTACAGGAGTACGTTTACTTCGCACGTTCCAAATTTTCTTCCACGAACGGTGGAAACGTTGCCGGCGTTAATTTTTATGGCATGTGTGTCACGGAAGTAGTACGAAGCTCAGACTTCATCAAAAATTCGATCTCACTAAACCCGGAAGGAGAGAGAGAGAGACGAGCGAATCATTGAGTCACCGTCTGATGCTCGTTGGCTATTTGCATTTCACGAAAACTATCTAGGACGCTCTGTTGCGCGAAAAAAAAGTAACAAAAATAGCAGCGAATATATTTTATCGATTAATTAACGATTAATAAAAATTATCTGTTTTACATTCTATATCAAGCAAAGCGAGGAATCGGAAACAGTGATTTTGGAGGAGATTTCTAGATTCCTCTTAATTTTGCTTCTTAATTTAGGTAAAGGTAACAGCTTGCGTGCGGTATAATTTGATTGACTTTAGACAAAGCAATAGCCCGCCAGCACTTGAACTACTTCGATCGCTTCTCCCCATTGTTCTCTGCGGTAGATTCGCGGTACCATGTGTTCCCCGTGGCATGTTACCGTTAACAAATCCGGGACAATTATTTAATCATGTAAACCGGACGTGTTGAGGTCAACGACGACGTCTTAAATTTTAAGTGCGACGATGAAACCGATTTTCACCGAACGCTCGAAGACTCAAGGTCGAAAAAACGAAATGTTCGAACAGACTTGCGCAAATATTTGCATCCTAATAAGCAGTTTCAAATTTATGCGAACGTGGGAATACATTTGTCAGCGATTGCCAATATCGAATATTTTCCGACATTACGTATGTACATTTGAACTCGCGTGTATCTTGGATAAATTGCGTCTTTGCAATTTTTTTATGGGAGCCGGAGACATAAATTAATGTCCTTTAATTTCTCTCGCTTGTTCAATGCGGACCGGTTTTCAAAGTATTAGGAACAATTTTGTATGTGCAGAAAAATTCACCATGCAAACGGATAAATTTGCACGCCAAATACTATTGACATGTATAATAATAATCATAATCAATATTTAATACTATAGTTTCTCGTAACTTTATGTAAATTTCAGCGCAAACATGGAAAGTAGATTGCAAATATTTGTTCTTATTATAACGAATACGCGAATATATCCAAAGGCTAGTCAATTCCGCGCTTAACTTAATTTTAGAGATTGATATAAATAAATTATCTAAGTGAATGTTAATCCACAGTTGTTTCTTATAGGCCAGTGTCACGTGAAACATTGTGCGATGTATAAACAAAAGAATATCATTTGCTTATCGTTTGTGAGTTACGAACACAAGATAAAGTAAAAGATAAAAGCACATTATTCTTACAAGATCAAGTGTATGATACTGCGTAAATTATACCAGTCCTCGCGCAACATTCTTCCGAGTGGAAAGTTTTCTTCTTTTTTTTTCCTTTTTATATCGCAATGCAACATCACTCACGCTCTTCGGTATGTGTCGACGAAAATAAAATTGGCGCGAGAAAGACTTCCAGCGTGATAAGGTAAATGTAAATTTCACGGGCACGTTGCAGCCGGAGGCGTTCGGAAAGGTTACTCTCCGATAGCAGTGAAAGCGATGCTCGCGTACTAATATTACATGCACGCACGTGAAAGACGTCAGGGATTAATGCAACGATCGCGGAAGGTCTCGCGCGATGATGTGCGACATCCGCACGAATGCACGAACAGATCTTCGACCTCACCGGCAAAGTCGCCTCAAAATCGCAAACACTGTAATTAATAAAATCAACGTTCGTTGTCGCAATAACAAGTATTATATCACTGACGCGATAACCGTAAGACACAAAATTATTCGAGCAGTCTAAACACGAATTGCGTCGCTGCGATTACATATACCCAAAAAACTTAATTTTATCCTTAGCCGAATTATTCTCTTATATTATGGCCTTTAGAGAAATGTTTTGAAACCGAAAGGAATATTTGAATATCCAAAAAGAAGAACTCTAGGCGCACGCTGCTATTTCCTACAATCCTATATTCTGAATGCAAACTATTATCGAAAGAGCATTTCTCTTCTAATGAAGAGAAATAATATAAGGTATTACTTAAGATATTTTCTTTTTGATTTTAGAAGATATTACTTAAGATATTTTCTTTTTGATTTTAGAAGAATTCTCTTAAGACTATACATGTATAAGAAGATTTTCCGCTAAGGATGGGATTAGGTTATTTTTTGGATACAAGCTAAGGTGTAAATATAAAATTTCACAACGCAAAACATAATAATGCTAATTCTAACGGTTTTTGCAAAATTCAACATTTGTAAAATTAACAATTTTTAAGAGGCTTTCTTGTTTTTTTATATAATGTTACAATTCACATATAGAATTGATCTCTTGAGTTTATATTTAATTGAGTTTGTTTCAACCGAGGGAGGGAAAGATATTTCTAGAGCTTTAAATTTTTCTATTATAAACTACTATTTTGAAAGGAAAGAATTGTGCGAAATTACCATCAGCGGAATGTCCAGAATCAAGTTTGGGAATTGCTATATTACTTTTGCTATATTACACTGAGAAGAAATTACTTGAAAATTTATTTGTAGGATATTGAGTTTTTCTCTGCAAAATAAATTAATTTCTGTGAAATAAAATTTATTCCTACAAAATAAAGTTTATTTCTCCGAATATAAATAAACACCCCGAAAATAAATTTTTAAATATTCTTTTCTCCGTGTGAACTCTGGATGAAACGCTCATCCGGTTGTGTGAGGAAACGATAGAAATTCAATGTATAGTATTCCGCGGTCCTTGTGAAAGCGTTTGTTTGTTATGACCGTGTCCGTGAAACTACGATTACTTTCATCGGTTATCTCCGTAGAATAATTCTGATCGCGATAATTGCGCGCTCGTTTGTATGTCCGTAAGAATACAAAACTGCCGCGCACAAGAAGAACATATTTCCTTCGAAGGCAAGCACTAAGCTCTTGACGGCGTAAAGAAAGGTAAAGTATCGTTGCAGTTTTCTCAATACAATGCCTCAAGTATCACGAAAAAGATTATCCTGAAAGAAATTACCGTGAAACGCGAAATAATTCGCAACACTCTTCGCGCTGTTAACTGCCCTCTTAAATCGCGAGTCACTCTTTCTCTCGTGATTCAAGTCTGTTACTGTCGCCCAACTCGTTCTCGAGATTCCATTTCAATTTTGTCCAAGGATTCGCTCATAATTCGCATTTCCTGTATGAAAGCAGCGACAAGCAAGGGGAAATCATAGTCAAAAACAGGTCGGCCCGTTTATCGTAACTCTAACCGGACCCTACTAGTTGCATAAGGCTACTTAGAGATCGAATACCTGCATGTGGTAGAGCATTGACATGCACTGAGCACCTGCAACATTTTGTTCCGCGTGTCATGGTGGATTAGCCTTTTTCTTCCTGTCGCAGGGCGTACGGTTCAAAGTCGCCTTTCTCCTGGCAATTAATTTCACCATGTAACGCGAGAGGGGAGAAGAGAAGAAGGAGATAGAGATCGGTGGTGTGAGGATCGAGAGATCGTTATCCATTGAAAACGCAGAGCGTCGTTCCTTTTCAATTAGGTCGCGTCATTGCGCGCTATCCGATAGGCAATCGCCAGTCAATACATCGTCTCGGATATAATGTCCCGCGGCGAGTTAGAAGTTAAACGGCGCTGGTCGTGTACTCGCGAGCGTGAACATGTAACTCGATCGAGTGCGACTATTTTACATACGGTGGGATCGAAAGAGAAAGGTCTCCAAAAGGATCGGCTCTCTCAATGTAGGTCACGATGATCGTTGTGTTCGCGACGGCCGGGCAAATCGGAGTAACTTTCGAGTGACTGAGCGCAGCAGAGTCCTCACCCGCTATTATCCGTTGCTCATCGATACGATTCATTTTCGCGACGCATCTGCCTGAATCGCAAATTGAAACACCCTTGCGCGTAAGATGACGAGATATCACGGGACGAGATCGTATCTTCCGCGCGAGATATTGAGCGTCGAAGATTAATGGTCGCCTCGCGTCGCATCGCATGCATACACGCATGCACGCACGCACGCACGCACTCTCTTCGCTCCCTTTTACCGGGACGTCGATGATATTTCAGCTGATCCAAGCCAATTGGGTCACCGTCCTACTTTAATCCACCCACCGGTTTTTACAGTTCGAGTAGAAAAAGACGGAACGACCGATAAACGAACCATCGGTCTCGCAACGATGCGCTGGACGGACTCCTCTGCGCGTTTTCAAGGTGCAGGCTGTATCTTCGTAAACCACCATCGATGGTCATTAACCCTTCGGTGCCCTCGTGGTTTAAGAGTGAAAGGAGCGAAGTGGCCCACATACAACAAAGACCGTTGCGCAAACTCGTTGGCAGTCACGTGTATAACGCACTTTTGGCAGTGCCACGATGCGCGTTGGAAAAATTTTGTGCAACGACGCTTTGCGCAAGCCTTTACGTAATTTCATCACGACCTCCGCGGAAAGAGCAATCCATTTTACGAATGCGACTTAACGGGGCATTCAAGCAGGGCTTGGAAAGTCGCAAAGAACTTTTCTGGAATTTTTATATAGAGAAACAAATAATATTAAACTTTGCATATTTTTTTAGTTTAATAATTAATAATTCGTGTTTTGTTTTAAAAAGAGCGTCAAGCGTTTTATCCTACCACGAAAGATAGTCTCGTAATATCACGCCTCAGAGCGGTAGAGTGTTGGTTAGATTAATTCAGCGGGCGCTCAGTGGAAACGCATGCAGGAAGGAAATTCCCGGAGAGCGCGCGTAGCGGACGATGAGAATGGGTCGAGGAACGTCCATTTTCATCCGCACGCAACAACAGTCGTGAAGCGGTCCAAGGAAAGCGCATTACGTCTAAACAAACGTCGTTGGCGGAAACCTCGAAACGTTTGATTATCGAATCACCTGCGTAATAGCAATTTTACCGTCGCGCGACCAGCTTCCTATCGGCCGCCGTCGCTGCC